GTCTTAAGATGAACATGGACAAAACAAAGGTCATGTTTAATGTCCATGTCACACCTATGCCGGTAGTTGTTGGGAGCACTATGCTCGAAGTTCTTGACGAGTACGTTTACCTGGGATAAATAGTCCGACTAAGTTAGTCCAACTTCGACCTCTCGTCAATCGACGCATTCAACTCGGCTGGGCAGCGTTCGGGGAAATTACGACACATCTTCTCGTCAGGTATACCTCAATCTCTGAAAACTAGATTGTACAACCAGTGCGTGTTGCCAGTGATGACTTACGGATCTGAGACGTGGTCTTTCACTGTTGGCCGTATGAGGACACTCAAGGTCGCTCAGCGAGCTACGGAGAGGGCTGTGCTCGGAGTTTCTCTGCGTGATAGACTCAGAAATGAGGATATCCGCAGTAAAACTAGAGTGACCGACGTAGCCCAACGGATTAGTAAGCTGAAGTGGCAATGGGCCGGCCATATAGTTCAAAAAACCGATAATCGATGCGGAAGAAAGATTCTCGAGTGGTAGCCTCGTACCGGTATGCGTAGTGTAGGGCGACCCCACACTAGATGTTGTGATGACCTGGTAAGATATGCAGGAAGTCGATGGATGCAGGTGGCTCAGGACCGTATTTTGTGGCATTACTTGGGGGAGGCCTATGTTCAGCGGTGGACTTGTGAAGGGCTGTAATGATGAAAATGATGCTGATGATGATGATAATGGCTCGTCATCACAACCATCCCATTTGTTATCGGATAATTGAGGGTTCACATCTTCTATAATATCCTCAGGTCCTATTTTTAAATATTCTTCAAGGTAATCGTCCGATAAATGTTCTCAATCTGACTCTTTGTTTTCTTTCCAAAAACTCTAAAATCCAATCGACTTGTAACCCTACAAAACAGCATTTGAATCACAAACTGCCCAAGGTATCATCTACAATATTTTATGTATTATTTTTCAAACCATTTTACTCATATTTTAATTAAATTAAAGTTCGGACAACTTAATTGGTTATTCGAAACTAAATATTGTAATTCTTAGGGCTAAAAAATATTTACAAATATTTGTACAAAATTTTCTTTTCAAATGGTAGTAAATTATAGAATTTCTATACACAATGAGAGATAGCCACGTGTATCCTATAATTTGTACTATTTATCGATGCGGATAAGCGTTACTTTCGTAAAATATTTTTAAACGGTGCTGTTAAAAAATAAGCATCCAGGTATCAAAGATGATACCGGAAGTCTCAAGAGGATATTTTAATGTTGTATCCGTAAAACTATTGTTTTTTTATCGTGTTATACATTTGTTTATTGATCTGTCTAGAAATAGTAATATTTAAGTGCTTAATGATGTTAATAGCGTTTTGCTATAAATGTATCTTTCTTTATTTCTTTTCTTTCTAATAATGTGACATCATAAACACTGTCAGCTGTCGGCAGGCCGGCGGATATGGGTACATAGCGGTGTAACAGTTTATGGAGGAGCAGGTTGAAGGAAAACCCACTGCAGGTTACCAAATTTCGTAACCAAACGACTCTTACGAATATGTGCGTGTGCGTACTAAAATAGTAGGTGTTAAATATTTATGAATGAAAATCATTTAAAATAATGCATGTGCATACATTTTGAATCACAAAAGATAAAAAGGACATAATGAATAAAACTATTATTTACGGATTTTATCGCGTTTCAAATGTAATATTCCTTTACAAGATGCAGGTGTGTACAAGCTAGATTGTGAATGTGGTCTCTCTTACATAGGTCAAACAAAGAGATCTATAAAAACCCGTGTGAAGGAACATATAGCAGATGTGAAGCACCGACGCCCCGGGAAGTCTGCAGTCTGCGAACATCTTCAAGATCGTCCCCACCATCACATTAGATTTGATAAACCACAAATTCTCGCAAAAGAACACCGATTCCTACCAAGGATGATACGCGAGGCTATTGAAATTAAAAAACATCCAAATTTCAATAGAGAAGATGGTTGGGTGTTACCAAATAATTGATAAAATAACTAATAGAAATATTCAGAGAGTACAGCCTATTAATCTACTTAAAACGGAAAATACACCAGAAGCAGCTCTAGACAAAATTAATAACTATTTTGTTAATGTTGCAAAAGAGCTATCTGATAAAATTACAATTGAAGGCAACTCAAGTATTCCAAAATGTAAACCAGTATACACACCTAGTAACTCGATAGTCTTGTTAGAAACAACAGAGCAAGAGGTTGAATCTACACTAATGAGTTTGAGATCAGATAGTGCAGTAGGTTGGGATGGTATTTCCTCAAAATTATTAAAAAATAACAAAGACATTATTGTTCCACCTTTAACACGTATCTTGAACTTGTGTATTAAAACAGGTAATTTTCCGGACGTATTTAAAATTTCTGTAATTCATCCTATTTACAAGGGAGGAAACAGAGAATGCGTTAATAATTACCGCCCGATTTCTGTACTACCTTCCTTATCTAAAATCTTTGAAAAAATTTTGAACAAAAGACTAATATTGTATTTAGAGAAAAAATAATATATTATCCAACAATCAATATGGTTTCAGAGCTGCTAGATCTACAGCTGATGCAGTTTCTGATCTAACTGAATTTGTAGTTAGTCAAATAGATAGTAAATTTAAATGTATTGGAGTGTTCTTGGATTTGGCAAAGGCCTTCGACACAGTTTCTGTTCCGATTTTGCTGAGTAAAATGGAAAAATTTGGTATCAGAGGGATGGCACTTGCTTTATTCAAGGACTACTTAAAAAATAGGATCCAGAGGGTAACCATTGATGGATATTGTAGTAATAATGCTCCTATTAACTATGGTGTACCTCAGGGTAGTGTACTCGGGCCAACTTTATTTTTAATTTATTTTAACGATTTAGGTAACCTAAAATTAGATAGGTGCCAAATTTTTACTTACGCTGATGACACTACATTAATCTTCTATGGAAAAAGTTGGGACGAAGTTAGGATTCATGCTGAATTAGGAATGCAAGCAACGTTACAATAGCTCAATCAAAACCTTCTTACTTTGAATATCTCAAAAACAAAATTTATGTTGTTTGCAAATAATAAACGAGCGCTAACTTCTGAAAATTCATTTAAAATAAAAATACACACCTGTAAAAACAAAAGCTCAATTCAATGCAACTGCACATCTTTAGACCGAAATGACACAGTAAAATACTTAGGCGTAGTGTTGGATGAAAATCTGACATGGTGCCCTCATATTAATCAGTTAGCAGGGAAAACAAGAAGCTTGGTATATATATTCAAAAAACTAAGACACGTGGCAGACTATTCTCTACTTAAGACTGTTTACTTATCTTTGGCACAGTCTATCTTGTCGTACTGTATTACCTCATGGGGTGGAGCGGTGGTGGCGGAGGTGGAGCGTAAAACTCATCTCATAAAATTAGAAAGAGCGCAGCGTATATTACTCAAAGTAATGACATTTAAACCATTTAGCTATTCTACAGATAAACTATATTCAGAATGTGACGTATTGACAGTTAGACAATTGTATATAAGAGACACTGTTATATTCCAACATGAAAAACTTACATATGATCACGAATTAACAACCAATCGCCGGAAAAATAAGGTCTGTCCTACTTGCCATTTTAAAACATATTTTATAACTAAATTTCAATGCTACTTAGGTCCTATGCTTTACAATAAAATAAATAAAATACTACAAATCTACTCACTTAACAAATATCAATGTAAAAAACTACTATTATCTTGGTTAAAAACTCTAAATACAGAAGAAACTGAAAATTTCTTGGTCACTTTGAAATAACATTACACTAGAATAATTTAACTATTCTATCTGGATTAGGTTACATAAATTCTACTAAAAGTACTTTATCTATAATAATTAAAAATTATTCACTTATATAACTATTTATATAACTATATTTAATTAAGTCTAAATGTAATTTAAAAAAAAACCTTTGCAAAAACCATGAATTAAATAATTATATAATATGTATTGACTGTTCACTGTACATTGCATAAGTTTTTGTTAAATACCTATAGAATTACTAAAATTATATATCATATATCTTTGCAATACTTCATTGTAACCTATCACCAAAAGAAATAGTTCTCTGACTTGTGATAACAATAATCATTTATTGGATTACAAATTAAGAAACTAAAAATGTTCCTATAAATAGTAGTCTAACCTTTCATACGCATAATAAGTTAGTATGACGGTAATCGCAAAAAAAGTGATAATGTATTTACGAATTTGTAACGTAAAACATAGATTAGGTGAATCATAATATGCCGTATGATTTTATAATTGTAAATAATGGTGCCTTTGGAAGTGACTAGTGTCTAAGATACAGGCTCGGCCTAGTTTAGACGCTAGTGTATAAAATTGTATAGATGAGTTATAACTGTTCAAATGTCTTAAAGATAAATAATGTAATCCTTACTTGGTGTTAATAAAAATTATTATTATTATTATTATTATTATTATCTGCTTGGGATCCTATAATTAACAAAATTAAGCCCAAACCAAAGCATACCACTGCAAGACTTCATGATACTATAAGCTCGTTTTGCGTAAATCGGACCAAAAATTAATATTAAAAAAACTGAAGGTAGGCGGACTAACTATGACATTGGGACGTTAAACATCTCAGTACCCCCCGTGACCATGGGTGCTGTAAAGCACCCGAAACTTCGGGATAATAATAAAAATAAATTAAAGTAATTAAACGCGATAAAATCCGTAAATAATAGTTTTATTCAATGTGTAGTGTTCGCGTAAATTTAAGAAATCATTAAGGACATAATTATTGAGTTTTTTATTTATTTATTTATATTCACCAATTACCTGTAAATACATATTTTGAACATTCTCTGCGAATTTGGTAGTTTGAAAAATAATCCTATTTTAATCGATTTGATAACATTATATACATTTACATAACTTATCGTAAGCTGCTCAAGAGATACATTTTAAACATAGTAATTAGATTATATAATCTTTGGTGTATTTATTCCACCTGTCGTTTCAGGAAACAACGTTTGAGATCCAGATTTTTCGAAATTTTCCTTTTTATTACTGCTGTCAACTTCGCCGGTCTTTGTAACACTATCCTCTGAAAAATTAAAAAAAAATATTTTGTATAAAAATGTGAATCTGGGCAACTAAGCTTCGCTTGGGTTTACAAATTTTATATTTTTTCCTTGTAACACCTAATCTAATACCATTAAACCTGCGTAAGTGAGAACTGGGTAAGCGAGAAAACCATTTGAGTGAGAATAATTGTCAGGCCCCGTAATATTAAACTCCTAAAACCTGTATAACTGAGAAACCCGTATAAGTGACAGTAATTTTTTCATTTATGCAATTTATTTCACGCTTTTTACACCCGATTCAAATATTACTAAATGTTAAAAATAAAATTAGAATATTATAAGGATACAATAAATGAAAAACTATTCAACGGAAATCATAAAATTGTACTAAAATTGACAACAAAAATGAACTATGAACAGTTACTGTCGCGATGTATGGCACTCCAGTGTTTTAGTATGGAATTGTCTGGGCATTCGTAGCATACCCTGAGTATCTCGTTCTCAGATTTCGATTAGCGACAGTTAAACGTATTTAAAATTTGCTCTTGATGACTCATTGTTATGGGTCAAGTTTTATTAAAATTGTTGATAAAATCAAATTTGATAAAAATTTATGAACTGGAAAATCACAATATGTAAAACAGAAACGCATAAGAAATTAACAGATTTTTCAAGTAATTGATGTAAGATTTTCTTTTTGTTAAAACTTTTTCCAAATAATGTTCTACCTAATGATACCCATACAATACTTTGTATATCACTTAATATTTGCTGTATTTTTATTGACCTCTATAATTGAGACAAACCTCTCCTGTAAGCTAGAATCTCGGGTCAGAGAGGAACTTCCATAAATGAAAAAGAGATTACGGCCCCTGGACTCTCGCTTATACGGGTTCGACTGTACATAAAAACAAGATTTATCCCGAATTCATCGTATCGTACTAAGTGTGTGCGAGTGAAAATGTACGCGTGCGTGAGCGCGCACGCGTCTGTATGTGTGCGTGTACGTGCTAAGAAAACGACAGGTAAATTATTTTGTGTCTATGGCGAGCGTCATTTATTACACGGCTTGGTAGTGGCGTGACTAAGCATCTCCTGAAGATCATCGGATGCATCACATATTTGATTATACTCACAGGCTTCATTTATCAATCAATTTAAAATTTAATCAATATCTCCAAATTGAAAATAATATCTTCAGTCATCGCATCTTTTAACACAACATATACAGGGTTACTGGTAACTCGACGTATTCCCGCCATGGCGTGATAGTTGGGGTCATAACCTATCAAATTCAATTTCCAACGAGGAATACGCAGATATCTTTTATCTCTATGGATATTGTGACGGTGACGAAGTAACGCTACTAAAATACAACTTTTTCCAAACAGAAGATAAGTAATTAAAAATAAAAATGATTTTGTGAAAAATAATTGTATGTGATCAATTGTGCAAATCATGTTAAAAACATCCCTATTTATCTAGCACTAGAATGAGTTCTAAACAGACAAAGGAATTTGTGTTTTATTTTTTAAACAATATTAATCTCCTTCTTTCATCACATGCACTGGTGTGTAGTGGTACGTATAAAGCCCCGCAGTATTCACAGTAAACCAGACCTTCTACTGCGATACACCTAAGCGACGAGCAAATATGTTCGTGGAAGTGGTTGGATCTTCTTGAAATTTGCTCAAAATTTCTTCATCTTCTGTGACATGGGGTGGTCGGCGATTAGGGTAGCGCTGTAGGTATTCACGGCGAGCAACTGCAGCGTCACCCTCACAATATCCATAGAGATAAAAGATATCTGCGTATTCCTCGTTGGAAAATGATTACCTTGCATGATTTCCGCGTCTCCTCGTGGAGGGATATGCGCGCGTGTGTACGATGCCTGTAATACTGATGACTGATTGAAGAGTTTCTTCTTGTTTAACTTGTTTCTAATTTCACATAAATGTAAACAATAGCATAAGTTCAAACGCACAATCTTTTACGAGCATTCCCGCAGCTGTTGATAAGGTTCCGAGAAGCGATTGTTTGGGATTACCCAAAACATTGCTACTCGGAACTTGTCTACCTGACCCCTTTTTTTTTCAAGTTTTTTCTGTACTATTTAAGTTACAACCTAAATGAATACTTCGTTGGGTAGCTAGATAAGTAGGGATGTTTTTAACATGATTTGCACAATTGGTCACATACAATTATTTTTCACAAAATCATTTTTATTTTTAATTACTTATCTTCTGTTTGAAAAAAGTTGTACTTTTAGTAGCGTTACTTCGAAAATGATGAGACTTTTTGCACACTGTAGTTTTCGTAAATAAGTATCCAGGTTTTCATTAAGTAAAAATAATAAAATGAAAATAATACAGCTGTAAGTTTTTATTTACAAATTTTTTTTTGACACCAGACTTTTGGGATTTTTTGAAAAAAATAATTAAACTTAAATATCTCGAAATTGGTCTACATTTGCATAATGCATTTTATGGTTCATTTGATAGGTTATGACCCCAACTATCACGCCATGGCGGGAATACGTCGAGTTACCAGTAACCCTGTATAACAATCATTTTTTATAATATTTAAGTATTTCTTTATTATAATAGTATTATATAAAGTTTCATTTCTTTATAATTTAAAATTAAAACTTTTCAAAGTGAGTGCATAAAATATTAAAAATAAACTCTATGATTCCCTTACTTGATTGTTTAAAACAATTACGTTAAATTACATCTTTCCATACGTTTTCATAACTTTCATAACATATTTAAAAACCTCACCTGATATATTGAAGAATTGAGGCTCATTCCATTCTTGAAGTTTTCCTGTCATGAATAAAATGAAAAAACGATTGCTTATGAAGTAAAACATCATCGATATAAAGAAAACTTTTCGCCATTCTGATGCACTAGTCTGAAAAATATTAAATTATTTTTAATATATCGTAAGAAAAAAAAATGAATAGAATTTTCTCAATAATTTCTTATATTAACGCGAACACTACACATTGAATAAAACTACTTTTACAGGTTTTATTTTATTCGTTTAATTTATTTCATTTTTAATTTCCGACGTTTCGGCTGCTTACCAGCACCCATGGTCACGGGTGACTGAGGTAACTGACGTCCCGACCTTCAGCATTTTAATTATTACTTATGGTCCAATCTAGGCAGTATGAACTTACTGAGTCTCAAAGTCTTGCAAATATATTAAACGCGATAAAATCTTTAAAAGCAGTATTTATCAATAGAACTTTCTTATTTATTACAGATTACAAGTATTACTCATATAAAAAGTCACTAAATGTTTTACTACTGGGTGGAAAAAACCTCTACCTAGAAAGCAACCAGCAAGATGACCATCGGAACACTTTTTTTATTGGAAAAGTTATTTTTCTATGTTGTACAATGAAATAAGTAATATTTGAAAAATGAGTAAAGTAGCGATCACCTCATTCCAAAGGGTATTTATCAATCATGTATTATTTAATATTTACTTTTTTATGAAATGTAAGGATCCTATCAACCGTATTCGTCCAGCATTTTAATTAAAAAAGCATTTGAATTTTTACACTAGTTTAGCACTGTTTTACACACACACAATAACATAGTAAGTAGCAGCTACTAGTTTACTTTAATCATCTGAGATACTTATCATCATCATCATCATCATTCCAGCCCTTCACAAGTCCACTGCTGAACATAGGCCTCCCCCAAGTAATGCCACAAAGCACGGTCCTGAGCACCTGCATCCATCGACTTCATGAATATCTTACCAGGTCATCACTCCATCTAGTGGGGGTCACCCTACACTACGCCTACCGGTACGAGGCTGCCACTCGAGAACCTTCCTCCTCATTGGTTATCGGTTCTTCGAGCTATATGGCCGGCCCATTGCCACTTCAGCTTACTAATCCGTTGGGCTATGTCGGTCACTCTGGTTTTACTGCGGATATCCTCATTTCTGAGTCTATCACGCAGAGAAACTCCGAGCATAGCCCTCTCCATAGCTCTAGAGATTGAGGTATACCTGACGAGAAGATATGTCGTAATTTCCCGAACGCTCTATACTTATATAATATTATTATAATAAAGTGTGCGTGTGTGTGTGTGTGTGTGTGTGTGTGTCTGTGTGTGTGTGTGCGTGTGCGTGTGCGTGTGCGTGTGCGAGTGCGTGTGCGTGTGCGCGTGCGCGTGCGCGTGCGTGTGCGTGTGCGTGTGCGTGTGCGTCTGCGTGTGCGTGTGCGTGTGCGTGTGCGTGTGCATGTGTGTGTGTGTGTGTGTGTGTATGTGATTTAACTTGATCTGAGCTTAATAGGGAACTGCAACCTTTTGAATTGAAAAAGAATATCTGTGGGAATTATAGGGATCCGTGGTATAATAACATTTTCACCTTTTCCTACGCCTGTCAAAATTGTAGCACGGATTATGTTCCGTCCGAGATGTGTCACACGCAGCCTTGTCCCATTACATAACCGAGGAGCATCTATATTTCGCATTAGCATGACTGGGACACCTAATTTTAATTGAAGCTTATGTGAGGGCACACCTGACCACTCTAGAGAATTTAGAAACTCTACGGGATATGAAGTGCTCTGTTCTGTGTCCATAACTGTGTCTACTGAAAAATACTTTGTTATTTCTCCTGCTACTTCGCTTAATTTATCTGAATTTACTTTGTTAACGCTCTCATTTTTTTGGTGCAAGAATCGCCCTTTCACATAACCCTTTGTCTTCATGCATGTTGTTTGTTAAATCTTAATAAACGCTCGCAATTATTTCGGAATGACTCTGTACTAAATTACAAAAATCTCTCGTCAATTAAACTCAGCCCTCAGCATCCGTTTCCAACCGCCCATCGCCAATTTTTAATAGTGTGTCAGCGTAGTTTCCAGCATTGATATCATTATACAAATGCACTCTCATATTCGTAGTTAAACTGAATTTTGTCACCTTGTTCCAAAAAATAGACGACTTGAGGCATGTTTTAATTTCATCTGCAGGTGTGCGCATTTGAATGAAAGGTAAAGTTTGGCGAAAGTCACCAGCCAGTAAAACCACCATTCCTCCCATTACATCGGTATAGCTGCGCAAATCCTGGAGCGTTCGATTTAGTGCTTCTATAGCTTTTTTATGCGACATTGTACTTTCGTCACACACTAAAAGTTTGCATTGTCGTGCACTATTTTTGCTAAAGTTGCAGATCGGCGATTCTTCCTGGGCTAGATTTAGAGGGAGTTTTAAAACAGAATGTGCAGTGCGGTTTATCATTCCAAAGTCGCGTAATTTTTGCCTACCATTGCCATTACTTTATCTTCAATTTTTCCAAGTCCTTCATTATAAATGTGTTCATTGTATGTCATGTTCGCATGTGTCTGCTGTAACCTTCGCAAAATATCTTCCGCCATGTACTCTTTATATTTGTCCCACAATTCATGTACACTAGATAGCCCGCAAGATGATATGAGAGTTGCATAAAGATCCCTAATTTTGGCTGGTGACTGGCACTGCACAGCTTCCTCCATGGTTTCGTCCCAGTGATTATAGTTTTCGAACAGATGCAGAGCTTCACATGCTTCTCTATAAGTTGCGCATTCCTGACCGTTGACAGTTTTAAAGTCTTTATATCCTGTAGGACACCGAACATGATGCAGCAGCAATCGTAAACAGAAACATTCAAAATTAGTTACATGGACAGTATACACACGACCAAGGGCATGTGATGACTTTACACCGGGCCAATTTGCAACAGGCTCGCCTCAAATACGGCGTTTCCACTCCTTCCTAGATGTTTTCCAAGTATAATAGCGGGGGACTTCAGAATATAACAACGTTTTTGCAAAGGGGTCGGTTTGATAAAGTTGAAATAAGGCTGTTTGTGTAGTTTTTGGCGGTGATGCAATTCTTTCTTGGAAATTTCTTTCGGTGAAATATACACGCTCTCCATTTTCTAAGTGCACAGCAAGGTGAGTAACTGTTCGGTGCCTTTCGTGTAAAGGGAAGCCAAGGAGACGCCACGCTGCCTCGTTACCGCTGCTTGAAAAGTCTGTACTTCATTAACGGGATTTGCCTCACCATCACTCTTGAGATTAAATATTGCTTGGTCGCTTCCTTTATTTATGTACTTACAAATATACTTAATTGCGCGGGCAGTGTTACATGCTTCTACATTAATGTGGGCATTAAACATTTTACATAGAATGGGCGAATATGGGACAATCCAGCTGTTATCTAAGGTTTCGAACGCTCCAGAGCGAGATTTGATTGTAACTTTCCTGCCACCATCTTGGGGAGCTCTGCGTCTATATAAGAGGTAGCCATTGTCATGCACTGTTTCTTTCAATAGCTGTTTAGGGAATTTCTTTGTACATTTTCCTTCTTTCATACATGGCGATATTGAATTTCGTGCTCCACATGGATCGTGAATCATATTTCGGACGATGGTATCACACAATTCTTTATCTTGCTCAGGATCCGGAATCTCGGCGCTTATTATGTCATCTATTTGGCTGGGCCGCAACTTCTCTTTAATTCATATTAGAATGCTTTGACTAGAATGTTACGTTCATGCAAGAATCTTTGAATTTTGAACACTGTGTCTCTCTCAACTCCCTGGATAAATTGGTAGCGACGGTCTACCTATATTTCTTCGTCACCCATAAAATATACTTGTAAAAAGAGCATTGCCCATTTTCGGCCATGGAACGCCCAACAATGTGAATTTGTTAAAAAATTATATCTTTATTTATGGTTATTAATCGCGGTATTCATTTATCCTCAAACAATGGGAATATTTTTGCACAAATTAAAAGTACCGAAAACATAATAATAAAAATTAGGTAAATCATTATGTCATTAGTTTGTGAATAAAGAAAAGTGTTGCCAATCACAAGACACATTTAAAAAATCGATTCTCTTTTTCGATCGATTATTTACGGTGTCATCATTACAGTGCAAATATAATTTTTAAATAATTATTATGTTACGATAATTAAACAAGCGAATTACTAGCTGATTTCCAATGAATTCTTTAGAGAGTAACAAATGCTACGGCACAATTTAACTGTTAATCTTAACCGATCTTCTTTGAAAACAGATAAGAACTGTTATTCTTATCTGTTTTTAAAGAAGATCGGTTAAGTTATTCTTATCTGTTTATAACAATACATTTAAAATAGAATCATGTTATGATAACGAAACAAGTTAGTTTCCAGCTGATTTACCATGAATCCTTTAACCTTTTGAGCGCCAAAGTCGCCTATACTTGACCAACACCTGCGGGCCCTGAGCGCCAACGACGTCTATAGTTACAAAAAACCCGGCTCTCAAAAAATGAAATATAGATATTGGAAAATTATTACAGGTATTTTAATTCTACACTACTCAAAATAGGAATAACCCAGCAACATGTGAGTATAAAAAACAAGTCTTCTGGAGCCACAAGTACTAAGAAACATTGAACTAATAAAAATGGATTTTTATCTAAGCAAATACTATGTCCAGCACGCCAAAGTCGTTTATGGTTGACCGCTAGTGTCAAACGCGGGAGGCATAGATTTCTTGAAAACTATCCAAAATTCAGCTCAATGGTGTTTTTTTTTCTATTATTATTGATATTTGAATAAAATTAAAAATTAGAATCATAAAACTATAATTAGCTACATGAATAAAAAATTTTATCAGTTCATCTTCACATAATAAATCTAATATCTCAGCTCTAGCACATCTTTAGCGCGTCATCGAAAATCAGTTCACTGGGCACCGTGATCAAGGATAGACGACACCCTGATGACGTCATAAGTGATTACCGAGAAAAGTAGAGCAATGCAACAAGAACGATTCCTCAGAACTCATTCGGATTTTGGAAAGCGT